GGGGGGGGGGGTCCTCGGCGGTCCTTGGGGGAGACGGCCATGTCTTCCCCTTCCCGGTGGCTAGGGGGGATGGGCGCCCGGGAGGTGGACAGATGGAAGGATGAGAGGCCGAGGGATGGACAGATGGGCCCGGGGGTGGGGGTGGGGGGGCGAAGACCTGGCCCTTTCTCACCCACCCCACCCTAACTCCTCACCGACCAGATACCCGCAGATAGGGCCAGAGTTGCCTGTGTCCTGATGGCCAGGCTGGGGACCTCTGGGGTTTCTGGTGGGAGGATCGCCTTGGAGCAGTGCTTTGGGACTCAACCTCATAACCCTCTGAGATTCCACCTGATGAACTCTGACCTGAGGCTCTGGCTCGAGCCCTGATTTGGGGGAGGAGGATCATAATGTGCTGGGAAGGATAGGAGGATTTCTGTGGCCTGCAAGTAGGTGGGGCAAGGTGCCTTAGTGCCGGGAGGAATGTATGTCCATGACTGTGAGCGAGTGTGACTCTGGGGCCTGTCGACTGTGCTACTGTGGCTCAGTATTATGTGTGGATGTGTAAGTGTGTAAATCCCTCACGGGACTGTTGTGTATGTGGCACTTACGAGTGAGTGTCTTGTGCCTGCAAAGGTAGATCTTTGTGTGTGTTTGTCCCAGGGTTTCTCAGTTTTGTGAGTGTCTGTGTGCGCTTGTGGTTCTGTGTATGAGTGTGTAGCAGCTAGTGTATGCATGTGTGTATTATCTTGGTGTGGGAATGTATCAGCTTTATGACTGCAGCATGGAAATGTGAAGTTCCATGAGTGTGCTTGGGCGTGTAAGAATGTGCACCTGTGTATTATATGTGTGTTCCAGCATGTTGGTGAGTGTGCAAGGTGTATGTGTTCTAGGTGCAAGTACCTGGTTGTCTGTTAGGGGGCACATGGGTTTCTCTACCGTGTCTGTGCACCTGTGAGTATGCGTGTGTAAGTCAGCGTTGCATGATGTATGTGTCAACCTGGAGGATGTGTGTGTGTCTATGTTGTGAGTCCATTTTTGCTTTAGTGTTGGTCTCTGGGAGCAGGGTTATGTGTTTTCAAACATGTGCAGGCCTCATGTGCCTGTGTCCCTGGTACAAAGCAGACCCCACTTCTGGGCCAGTGGGATTGGGGCTATGGTATGCCAGGGTCCAGGCACCTATATGCTAAGCCACGTGCCTATGCAGGGTGGGAGCACCCAGATCTTGCTGGTGTGTCCCTGGGAATCCCGATGTAGAACCGTGGGTTGTGGCCGTGTGGGTTGGACACGTCCACACAGTGAGAGTGGGTCGGATGGGAACCTCTGGCCACCTCCTGGTACCACTCAGCCTTTGAAGTTGGGGGCTGGGATGTGAACTTGAGGCTCTAAAGGAGGAAGTGTCTGGTCCAGACTCCTGGGTCTGAGAAGGAGGAGCCTGGAAACTTAGAATCCTGGGTCTGAGAGAGGAGAGGACCAATCCCAGACTCCAGGATCTTAAGAGAGGATGGATGGGGGCGCTGGGGGATGTGGCTTCTGAGGCTCCAGACGACAAAAGGCTAATCCTTGAATCCTGGGTTTTGGAACGTGAGCTGGCCTAGGTACCCAGACATGACTTCTGGGTCCCTCTGATACTATGCAGAGCCTGCAGCAGGAGGGCTGAGAGAGTGATCATTGCAGAGACTTCCTATGTTCAGATGGTCTCCAAGGCAGGCCTTAACGCTCAGAAAGGAGCCAGAGGATGCTAACAGGGTGGCTTTCTTCCTTTGCAGGTACTGGCGCAGGCCCTGACTCCCTGAAGAGAGGTGAGTAGTGCCCTCGGGCTAGGGATACAGAGTGGGGTAATGGGGCTGGTTCGGAGCCAGCTGGGGCCTGGACCTTCCCCGGAAGGAACCCCAGTGCAGGGTGCAGCAGTGTCCAGAGGGGCAGGTGCCTCTGCACTTCACCTTAGGTGAGGAAGTGGTGACCAACCCGGGGTCATCATAGGTGAGTGAGGGCTTAAGGTGGCCAGGAGGCTCTGGGGCACAGGTGGGGTCTCAGGGAAGGGTATGGCATCCTCTCTCAGGAAGGGTAAAGGATTGGGAAAGGGATTGCTTCATGTTGTCAGTGAAGGGTATAAGAAAGTTTCAAGATGTGAGTGAGAGAATTGAATGGTTATGGGGTGTGACTGTGCTTGTATGGGGGAAGACCTGATAGCCCGACCTGCTGAGGCTGAGAAAGAGCCTTAATTATAGTAGTCCAGACATGGGGGCTCATGCCTGTAATCCCAGCACTCTGGGAGGCTGAGGCAGGAGGAATTCAAATTTGAGCACAGACTGAGCAACTGAGTGACTTAGGAAATCCCTGCTCACATTTTTTTTGAGGAGGGCCCTTGTGCTTGTGAGGCAGGTGGTGGAACCACAGAGCCAAATCCCTAGCCCCTTGCTCAAAATTTTAAAATAAAAAAGACTGGGATGTAGCTCACCGCTAAGGTACAGCAAAAATGTTGATGATAACAGCAGTAGCTAACATTTATGTAGGGTTTCCTTTATCAGGAGCTGTGCAGAAGCTCTATGAGCTAGGTCCTATTTTTACCCCCTTTTCACAGATGGACATACTGAGGCACAGAAGAGTCACTTGACATAAGTCACACAGCAGAGACTAGGGATGTGAACCCAGATTCACATGGGGTTTGGATTCTGGCCCGTAGTGTACAGCGGCTCTCAATAAATGTTAGCTGCTCTCCTTGCGGTTCTTATTCTTTTTATTGAGTCTCACTCTGTCTGCAGGAGGTGAGCTCTGCACTTGTTTCGCAGATCGGGGTTCTGAGCCCCAGAGACCCCCCAGCCAGGCAGGCGCCGAGCTGAATCTCCTAGTCATGGAGTCCATACAGAGCAGTGTTCTGGGGAGTAAGAGGCAAATGTGGGAGCAGTGCCCAGAGATAGCAAGACACCCTGATCCTGCCTCCTTGTCCCTCCTCAGCTGGGTCGCCGTCTTCCTCCCTCTTGGTCTCCTCTCTTTAACATTCTCTCTTTTCCACTGGCTGTCTCTGCATCTCTCTTTTCTGTGGGTCTCCTTCATTCTCAGTTTTTCTGTTTCCCTGCCTCACTGTCACCCCATTTCTTCATTTTTAAAACTTATATTTTATTGCAGCACTGGGGGCGGGACCCAGGGCCTTGCTCATGCTAGGCAGGTGCTCTGCCACTAAACCATACCCCTAGCCATCCTTCCCTTATTTTGAGACTCTTTCTCTTTCTGAATCTTTCTGTCAGTCCGTCCCTTTCCTCTTTGCCTCTCTGTCTCTCTCTCCCTCTGTCTGGCTTTCTTAGCCCCACTCCCCCTTTCTTGGGCGGAAAGATCAAGGTCACGGAGGGTTCCCTGCCACGCACACAGGCTCCTGGGATGTGAGCCAGCAGAGGCTGGAGTCCAGGGCAGGGTGGGGTGGAAACACTTCCGGGGTTGCCCCCTTCCCATCCTGTCCTCCTCACCCCCTGCCCCGCCCACCCTGTGTTGTGATGGGAGCTGACAGGTCGTGGGCTGCAGCTGCTGTAGGGGGAATCCCCGCCGGAAGATTTTTGCCTGGAGCATAGGCACAGTGTGAGTGTGTGAGTGTGTGTACGTGTGTAGGCACGGATGGGGCCTCGTGTTTCCCCACCAAGGTGAGCACCACAGTTGGCCCTGCTAGACAGCTGAGCCCAGGACAAAGCCACACTCAGAGGAGCACTCGCGCTCTGAGTGGCCCAAGTGGCCCAGCTGGGAGACTCTGATGCCTTTTTCTCTGCCCCTCCCACCTCTACGTTAAGGTGTTAAGGGGCCACCTTAACGTTTATTGAGTACTTACTGTACGCCAGCCCGTGTCAGTGGCTCCCGCGTGTGAGCTCAGTGAAGATGATAAAATTGTCATTCCAGTTTACAAATCAAGGCGTGACAGCCTCACGGCGGGGGAAATCAGTGCTAACAAATGGGGAACCAGGATTTGAGTCTGAATCTGTTTGAGTGCAAAGCAGCTACTCTTTATAATACACAGTTCTGTGCCTGGTACTTATCAGGCACTTGACAATGACAATGATAATGACCTTTTGGATGTATTCAGCCCATTTCATGTGCTAGGGAGTGTTCTAAGTCAGCCGTGTTCTTTAATCCACCCAGTCCTTATAGAAGTAAGACTTGTATCTCCTTTCTTACAGATGAAGAAACCGAGATTCAGAGGGGTTCAGACACTTGCCCGAGGTCACACAGCTAGTAAGTGTCACAGCTGGGATTGGAATTGAGAGTATGCCCTCGGCACCTCAAGCCTTAAATCACAGTCCACCGTGATTTCACAATATCTGGTGGATAGTGAAGGGCCCAGGCTGGGCGAGTTGTCACCTTTCTTGTTGCGAGATCGTGAGAGGCTAAGAGACTCCTAGAAAGGGGACCCAGGTGGGGTTCGAGCACTCATTGGAGGGGAGGTGGTACTTTAGCAAGCAGCGTGGAAATAGAGTCATCTGTTAAGGTGGATGCATGCAGCCAATGACAAGTCCTGTCTCTGTCCTCGGTCTAGTGATTTTGGGGGAGGGATGCAGGTCTGACTCTGGGTAGGGTGTCCCAGGGCCTCTGGGAGGCACTGTGCATCTGCCTGGGTAACTGTCTCTGTCCCGCAGGTCCCACTGCCCACTCCTGCCTTCCCCCTGCGCCATGGCTCCGGGCCCTTTTGCCTCGGCGCTTGTCTCGCTGCCTCCTGCTGCCCTGCCCTTCCTGCTGCTGCTCTGGGCCGGGGCATCTCGCGGCCAGCCGTGTCCCGGCCGCTGCATCTGCCAGAACGTGGCGCCCACGCTGACCATGCTGTGCGCCAAGACCGGCTTGCTCTTCGTGCCGCCTGCCATAGACAGGCGCGTGGTGGAGCTGCGGCTCACCGACAACTTCATCGCGGCCGTGCGCCGCCGCGACTTTGCCAACATGACCAGCCTGGTGCATCTCACACTCTCCCGGAACACCATTGGCCAGGTGGCACCTGGCGCCTTCGCAGACCTCCGTGCCCTCCGCGCCCTGCACCTGGACAGCAACCGCCTGGCTGAGGTGCGCGGTGACCAGCTCCGCGGCCTGGGCAACCTCCGCCACCTGATCCTCGGCAACAACCAGATTCGCAAGGTGGAGCCTGCTGCCTTTGATGCCTTCCTGTCCACCGTGGAGGACCTGGATCTGTCCTACAACAACCTGGAGGCCCTGCCGTGGGAGGCGGTGGGCCAGATGGTGAACCTCAACACGCTCACACTGGACCACAATCTCATCGACCACATTGCCGAGGGGACCTTCGTGCAGCTGCACAAGCTGGTGCGCCTGGACATGACCTCCAACCGCCTGCACAAACTCCCACCTGATGGGCTCTTCCTGAGGTCCCAGGGCGGCGGACCCAAGCCGCCCACGCCACTGACCGTCAGCTTCGGTGGAAACCCGCTGCACTGCAACTGCGAGCTGCTGTGGCTGCGGCGGCTGACCCGGGAGGACGACCTGGAGACCTGCGCCACCCCGGAGCACCTCACTGACCGCTATTTCTGGTCCATCCCCGAGGAGGAGTTCCTGTGTGAACCCCCGCTGATCACGCGGCAGGCGGGAGGCCGGGCCCTGGTGGTAGAGGGCCAAGCGGTCAGCTTGCGCTGCCGGGCGGTGGGGGACCCTGAGCCCGTGGTGCATTGGGTGGCACCTGATGGGCGGCTGCTGGGAAACTCCAGCCGGACCCGTGTCCGGGGAGATGGGACGCTGGATGTGACCATTACCACCTTGCGGGACAGTGGCACTTTCACTTGCATTGCCTCCAATGCGGCGGGGGAAGCCACGGCGCCCGTGGAGGTGTGCGTGGTACCTTTGCCATTGATGGCGCCCCCGCCAGCTGCCCCGCCACCTCTCACTGAGCCCGGCTCCTCTGACATCGCCACACCGGGCAGACCTGGTGCCAATGAGTCTACTGCTGAGCGCAGGCTGGTAGCAGCGGAGCTCACCTCCAGCTCAGTGCTTATCCGCTGGCCCGCCCAGAGGCCCGTGCCTGGCATCCGCATGTACCAGGTCCAGTATAACAGCTCTGCGGATGACTCCCTCGTCTACAGGTGCGTGTGGGGGCTGCACCCCAGGACCTCCTCCCAATCCAGGGCCCTCCCTCCCGCCTGCCTGAGGTCTTGGCCTTCTTGCTCAGCTGGTGCTGGATGGTCTTGCCGACTTATCCCAGGCCCTCCTTGGCCCTTCCTCTTCTCTTCTCTATTTTCTGTCTCACTGTCTGTAGTTTCCCTGCACTTAGCAAATGTTTATTGAGCACCGACATGAGCAGACCAGGGTTGAGCCCTGGAGTTATAGCAGTGAAGCAGCACAGCATGATTGGCTGTTTAGAGAGTGATCTGAGGAGTGTCATGGTCTGCATGCTGGCCACAAGGGTCTGATCACGGGCCTCTTCTGTTAAGCATTGGCTGCACAGCACACACATATATTTACAGTTATATTTCTATTTTCAAACTATATACTAGTGCTATTATACCAGCACATTGGGTACATTAGAAGACCAGAAAACAGAAAATTATGAGAAAAATGTAAGTTATTTCTACCCTCTGTTGCATTAGAAGCCATCGCCCTGATGGGACATTTCTCCTTCTTGCCCCTGTTGGGCACTGAGCCCCTCCTCTGTGCTAGGTCCTGAGCTGAGTGCTGGGTGCCCAGGGAGCGCAGGACGCTGAGTCCCTCCCCTCAGGGAGCTCACAGCTCAGTGGGAGGAGGCCCACGGAAGGAACAGAACCACTGCCGCGGCCCTGGATGTCCCCATCTCGGGGGTTTCCAATAACACTCTTGGCCACGGAGCTGGTACACAGTGAGCATGCTTTACAAAGGGCTGTTGGCTGATGGATCTGTCCTTGTCTCCGCCTCCCTCAGGCACACTGAAGAGCACCTGCTGAATGCCCGGGCTTGTGTTCGAATTCACAGGGGGAGGTCGGAGGCATTTCTCCACCCATGGGAGCCCTAGCTTGTGGGTGCAGACCTTCACAAAAGCCTGCCTCTTGGCCTCCGTCTCCACTTTTCCCAGTGTTCTCGTGGCTGCAGGCCTGGAGGCATCTTTCCTTTGTTGGTTGAGTGAATAAATGCCCCTCTCTCTCCCCTTGGTTCTGTTTTCTTTCTTCTTCTTTTTTTTTTTTTTTTTTTTTTTTTTTTTTGGTACCGGGGATTGAACTCAGGTGCTTATGCTTTTGAGGCAGGTGGTGGACCCACTGAGCTAAATCCCCAGCCCAAATTATTATTATTATTAATGTTATTATTATTGGTACTGGGCATCAAACTTGGTCCTTGTGCTTTTGAAGCAGGTGGCAGCACCACTGAGCTAAATCCCTGGCCCTTTTTTCTTTTGAGACAAGGTCTTGCTTTGTGTTTCAGGCTGGCCTTGAACTCATTATGTAGCTAGGGCTGGCCTCAAATTCACAGCAATCCTCCTGCCTCAGCCTCCCAAGTGCTGGGATTACAGGTGTGTGCCACCACATCCCACTATTGTTTTCCTTGTTCTGATTTTGGCCACTAAACACCAAGTAAATACTGTGCGTGAGATCTGTGTTGGGCCTTGGGGCTAGTAAGATAGAGCAGCCAAGACTGGTTTTACAAACAGCAGGCAAACAAGTGAACCAATCAGGAAGCTTCATGAGATGCTCTCAAAGTTGCTGCTTCATTCCCTCAGCTCCTTCCCATTTAACAGAGGGAGAACTTGAGTCTCAGTGGTCCCATGCCCATGGTCTCATGGAAAGTAACAGGGCTATTCTTTATAAGCAGAACTCTTACCGAATGCCTACTGTTTGCCAGGCAGGGATGGAGGGGAAATGATATTGCATGTTTGTAAACAACTCAGTTTCTGTGACTCTCCACCTCTCTGTTTCTCTCTTTCCTTCTTTCTGACCTATGGTCACCACAAAGATGGGAGGGGGTGCTGTTTACAGGCCCCCAGACTCTGCATGTATGCAGCTGTCGATGGCCCCTGTCCCCAGCTGGGCAACAGATTCCAGGACTCCTCCTTTCCTCTTAGGGCCACCGTCGTAGTCCTCCATCCCCCACTGCAGATGCTGTACTATGGCACTGCAAGGGTTAACGTCTTCACTGCTGCCATGGGTGCAGATGACATCCAACCAGAAGCCTGCTCAGCTGCTTGCTCTGGTCTTGCAGCCAATTAGAGACACATGGGCTCCAGCTTTCTTAAGGAGCCAGTCTCTGTCCTTGAAAAAGAGGAGCCCCTAGCAACTAGTTATTTTGGGGGAAGGAGCAAGGGAATCCAAGGCTCTCAGAGAGAAGATGAGAGAGGAAGAAGAAGATAAAGCCAGGGAGGAGGCCAGGGTGGGTGGAACAGGGTGGTATTGGTCTGACAAAAGTCAGAATGAGGTAGAAGGGGAGAGTAGGTGAGTCTGGGGGGCTGTGTTGAAGCCTTTGGTTGGAGGGTACTCTGGGTAGTGGGGCAGGATGCCCTAGGTGGGGCTTGAGGACCCGAAGGTGTCCCAGCTGGAGGGAAAGGTGGAGCTTCTGCAAGAGGTAAGAGGGCTGTGGAGGTAGGGCATGGCCTTGCAGAGGGGTGGGGCTTGTTCTGGGTGGTCTCAGGCAGAAGAAGGGGACGTCCTTGTCCCTGGTGAGCCACTAAGAGGCTTCGCAGGAGAAAAGGGCTGGGGAGGGTGTGCTGGCGTGCAAATCCATGTTCACTTGGCAGGCCTGGACTTGCTGAGGCTGCACTCAGCCAGCAGGTGGAGGGGATGCACTCTACAGCTGTGGGCCAAGGTCTGAAGGTGCGGCCCTCCAGGGGGAGAGATCGGGTCTCACAGATGGGGGAGAGTGCAGTTTGCAGGAGTGGGAGCCGCAGTAAGGATTCCTGGCCAACAGTAGATGGAAGAGAAGTTAATAGTGATAATAAGTGCCAGGCTTTGGATATGTTAACTCATTTGTTCCTCATACCATCACTGTGGTATGGGAGTTATTTTCCTCATTTGGGGGAAATACTGCACAGAGAAGTTAAGAACATTGCCTGAGCTCACAGAGCTAGCAAGGGGCAAAGGAGAACTTCATACCCAGGCAATCTGGTTCCCAGAATGGGTTGGCTTCACTGAATCTCTACACTGCTCCTCATTTGAGGGGAGGGACCCACAGCAAGAAAGGAGCATGTATGCCTGGCTACATTTGATTCCACTGTGAATGTAATTCTGGGGGTGTGATTTGGTGACTTCTGGTGGGTACAGGCCTAGGCATGCAAAGGGTGTATCTGGGCCTGAGCACAGTAGGGGAACTATCCTTATTTGGCCTTTGCATGGTGTGACTTGGAAGCCACAGTTCAATCAGAAGGGGAGTAGTTTGTAGCAATGGTACCATGAGTGGGAATGGGTGGAGTAGGGGCCTGGAAACTGCCAGAAGCTGCCTGTTCTACTTAAAGGCATGCAGATACAAACAAGGGACCTGCATCAGTTTCCCACCAGAGTAGGGCTGGGTGTGCTGATAAAGGGAGTGGCCAATAGCATCAGTTCCTTTAAATGGTAACTATATGCAGATAAGGGAGCCAGAGTGGCAGCTGTCCTAATAGGAGTGAGACGCTCTAAGAAGGCATGTCCTTTGAGCTATGCAGCACTCCTCCCAGGCAGGCGCCTGGATGTGTCCCTGGGGAAAGATCGATGGGCGATGAGGCAGCCAGGTGAGGTTTGAGGGGAGGGCATGCTGATAAGAGGCAGGCCTGTAGCTAGTCCCTGAAAGGGTGAAGAAATAAGGCCCAGTCGGGACTGAGATACTGAGTACTTTTCCATCGCCTCTGTTGTTCACTATCAGTTGGGCCTAAAGTGAAAGAGACTGGTTCGGAATGGGGCTAACTATGCTATGCTCCCGCCCCTTCCTGCAGGATGATCCCGTCCACCAGCCAGACCTTCCTGGTGAATGATCTGGCAGCGGGCCGCGCCTACGACTTGTGCGTTCTGGCAGTCTACGATGATGGGGCCACCGCCCTGCCGGCCACGAGAGTGGTGGGCTGCGTGCAGTTCACCACTGCTGGGGATCCTGCGCCTTGCCGTCCGCTGAGGGCCCATTTCTTGGGCGGCACCATGATCATCGCCATCGGGGGTGTCATTGTCGCCTCGGTCCTCGTTTTCATCGTTCTGCTCATGATTCGCTACAAGGTGTACGGCGACGGGGACAGCCGCCGCGGCAAGGGCACCTCCAGGTCGCCCCCGCGGGTCAGCCATGTGTGTTCGCAGACCAATGGTTGGAGCCTCCAGGAAATTTGCAGTTGAATCCAAAAGCAATGTCTTAGTCCATTTTCTGTTGCTCTGATTTCACACCACAGACTAAGTAACTTGCAAAGAACAGATATTTGTTTAGTTCATGGTTCTGGGGGTAGAAGTCCAAGAGCATGGAGCTGCCATCTGCTAAGGGACTTCTTCCTGATTCCGTGGATCCAGAGGTGGTGCTGGGACGCTCGCTGGGCGGCTCAGCCACCTCGCTGTGCCTGCTGCCGTCCGAGGAAACTTCTGGGGAGGAGTCTCGAGCAGTGACAGGGCCTCGGAGGAGCCGTTCTGGGGCCCTGGGGCCGCCAGCTTCAGCGCCCCCGACTCTAGCTCTGGTTCCGGGGGGAGCCTCGGCCCGCCCCAGGCCGCAGCAGCGCTACTCCTTCGACGGGGACTACGGGGCGCTCTTCCAGAGCCACAGTTACCCGCGCCGCGCCCGGCGGACA